GTAGGAAAAAAAATAATATTAAGCCTGGTTGAAAGAAATTGGCAGTACTTTTGTTATATGCTAAATACTTTTGTTTGACATATGTTTCTCGTTGTGTTGTGTACAATATGATATGATATGTACGATAGGAATTTTGAAACATATTTTCAGTGAACATTCACAATAGACTGATTTTTGAATTTGGCCGCACTAAAACATTAGTCTTAAATGTTTTTGCGAGTAAAACCTGAGGATTTTAAGAGTATTGATAACTATTGTATTCGTTATCATAATTAAATGCCATTATATGTATATTCTATGTTTTATTGATATCTAGTCATACTTAAAAGTATCATTGTAGTGGTGCTTCCTCGATGTAAAAGTTGTGGGGAACAATATAATTATGTGGTGTAATCAATATAATTATGTATCGTAATCGATATAATTGTGTGGTGGAATCAATATAACTTTGTATGGAAATTTATATCACTAGCACAAAGTATCCAAAAGTATCAATAATAAATCAACAAATTCAAACAAAAGTTATTTATATTTGTGAAGTATATATGTATATATATATTTTACTACATTTATTTTAAAATAATAATTAAATTATTACATAAAATAAATTTTTTTAAACATTTCGAGTTGAAATATAGCATAAAGCAATCAATTTTGAAAATTAATTCTTTAAAGCTGATTAAAGCGTCAATAAAGCTCAATAAAGAGATTCTTTTGGCATCGATACCACTATAAACTGCTGGATTGTTTCTTCATATTTTACCTTTTATTTGCTAACTACGGAACAAATAAATGAATGTTTCATTTTTATACGATGGATTTTCAATTATTAATAAATTATTCTATATTCCAGCAATATGTTAGCACTAAGCAATGCTTTAAAGTGTTCGAACATTTCGATGCCATAGCAATTTGAGTATATTCGAATTCGAATAACTGTTTTGAATATTTTAAACTAATAATAAAACAGCGGAACTTTCACTGAAGGTTAGCTTTATTTAATATTTTTTCCTGAATATATTGTTGAAAATAATACGTTATAGATTAGTTTTTGGTACAAAAATGGTAAGATAATACTTCGTTTTCATTTTCGACGTGACATTTCAGTTTCACTGCTTGATTTTTAAAATAATATATTCCTAGTGCTAAGTTAGCAACGCTGATGTCTAAACTGGCTTATCTTATATGAATAAACTTTAAAAAATGATTTATTTGTTGAACTTTAATAATATTTGAGTTGAAATATTGAAATGATATTTATTAATTCTATTTCAAAAGTATAGGAAATAAGCTTAAGAAATAGAATATTGAAATAATATTTATTTATTATATTTCTTAAGCATATTTTTCTTACACTTTAGAAATTGACATTTTTTATAAAACTTGAAATTAGAAATATGACTTTCAATATAAATTTAGCAACATAGGACTACTCTATTTTTATGTTCTCTATCAAGCGTATTCTCTAGCAAATTGGTACCGTTTCTAGATTTTTCTTAAAATTAATTTTTTGAAAAACTCAATTTTTGCCAATTTTTTTCTTTGTATGATTTGAACAATACTCTTTAGAGATATAATTTCTATACAATTCGGTATACATTGAAACAGCAAGAATTGTTAAAGTAGAAACCTGAAACGATAATGTAAATGTTTGGGAATCAATCTTAGTAAAGTTCATAATGTAAACATGGTAAATGCTTACGTAATGTAAATTTTTACTTACATACTTTTAATTTTACTAGTTTGCATTTGAGTGAATACGTTAAAATAGCAAAAAAATTTTTTAGAACAAATTGCCATTTTGTGCATTTTACTTACAGTTGACAATTTTTTTTTATGTGACAGAGAAAGTTAAAATTTCAATGCGGAAATGTTTTTCGAGTTATCTTAATATGTAGTTTTGAATCTTTAATATAATAGCCGTAATTTTTCTTTCAGAGCTGTAAAAAAACAGCATTGTCTGGTTGAAATAAATTGGCATCACTTTTAATGTATATATAAAATATAAAAATCGTAAACACAAAAAATTAATTAATTCATTTAAATAAAGGAAAACAAAATGAATATTAGAAGGGCAATGGTAAGTATTTTTATCTTATATATTTAAATTAATTTATTTATTTATGTATTTCAATTGATTAGAAAATGCACATATGATTTTAACGGATGACAGGATTTTTGCAACATATTTCCAGTGAACATTTACAATAGACTGATTTTTGAATTTGGCTGCACTTAAAGTTAAGTCGTTGTAGTTGTTTCACATATAATTTCGGATTTCTTTCGTAAGTTGCGAGTATTTTTTTGCTGCTCTGAAAGAAAGCATTGCAGCTAGTAGTGAATCTATGACGTAATGAATAAAGTTGTGAATAATGTACACTAACATTTCATTTAGAAAGTGGAAATGTTGGTGCAATGAAGTACTTCTGAAGTCAGGTGTTTATTTCTTTTTTTCTTTAAAATTTTAAAAGTAGTAAATATTAATATTAATATTATTGAAACTACATAAAGGATAGAGCCCTGAAATTATTTACGAAAACTGGCCGGCTTACCAACACCGCGTTATCGAATCTCAAAATGGTTACAGGCTCCTCGGGGAGGTATGCAGATCTGAGGTCAATTATTGCTTAGTCCGATGAAGTGATAAACAATAATCCAGTCGCAGTTAATAGAGAGCAGAAGTGCTCAAGTGCACTGACTTAACTAGCCTCAACATAATAGTAAAATATCATATTTTTTAATGTTAGTAAATAGTGAAAAAGTCAAAATATACCACAAGAAAAAATTTCAAACTATAACAGCGAATGTGCGATATGTTGTTGTTGTAACCTGCTAGGACCTGCTTGTGAAGTCACTTGGTCGACGAGTGGTTTCAGCACGTTGACCCGACCGTTCTTAGAATGTGTAATATATTTTACTTTACTATTTTGTATTTGAAAGTATTTTAGTACTTTCGATGCAAATCTCTTTTTTCAATATTATATCAAACGTTCCAGAATGACTTATACACTACTATATGTGAGCACAATAATATTAGTTTTATTGTAAATAAATCGTCAAACTGTCTGGCAACTATTATTTTGAATTTTGGCATTTCATAACTTTGGAGTTCATTTTAGACATATTTTTAGGTATTTATTCAGAAAATGTAAATCGCTATAAAATTACCTCATCATTCCCTAGACTAATTACGATTTCCTCTTTACTGTATGTAATGTTACTGCCATTTACTAATTTATCATCGTCAAACGGATCCGGCTCATTAATAAATGAAAAGTATGGGTAAAATTTCCACGTAGAGACGTATTCCTTCCCCAATTTAGCCATAGATACGGTTTTCTGTCTCTCACGCCGCAAACACGATCTGAAACTGTTTATTTTCCTTTTAACCATGTTAATATCGGCGTTGGGATCAATTTCCCTCAGTTTTGCAAGTAGAGTATTATAAGCAGAAATTTTATATTGCTTCATATTATAATTATCAGAATTAACATCCCATAATGCTGGTTGCGATTTATATATGTCAATGAATTGTGTCCAAAAGTTAAATCCGAACATACTAAAACTCTATTTAAATGAAAACAGCGATTATAACGAGTAGTTATACGTTTAAATTCTTTCAAACTCTTATGCACTTCACACACTTATCACACAAAATTTAGCAAAACTAGTTTGTCAAAATGCAGCATTTTTGTTTGGCGTGCCAGTATTGCCAGCAAAAAATTCTTTTAACTAAAATTATTTTATATACTTCAATAAATGCATATGTATTTTATATATATTTGTAAGTTAACACTAAAATTAATTTTAAAGTTAAATAAGAATAAGGAACTGGACTACTAGATCCTTTGCCCGAAATGCATATGTATTTATTTATTATAATTAATTACAAAATACAAAATCTTATAACTAAGATAGGAAAAACCAACGCTAGCTGCCAGGACCTTCAATTCCGATATTATAAAATAAGTTTTATTGACAAAATTACAGGGGTTAATATATATTTTTATATATATAAAGTATATTTTTAACAGTAATTATTTTTAATAGGCTGGTAGGTAAGATGTTTTGTAAAATATTACTACGAATAGGATTAAAGAAATGGCAATCGTTAAGTATATGATCCATAGATGGTGTGCTATTACAAAATAGACAGTCTGGTAACTGATCGCACCTCAAACGAGAACTAAACAACGCTTATAGGTTAAACGATTACTCATGTATCCACATACAAATGGGGATTACAACTCTATAAACTTTTGTATCAATGTATCTGATACAATTTAATTAACAAGTCATGTCTCTGTACATAAACATTTTAAAAAAAATCAAGGATTCAAATACGTAATAGCAATAATACCAAAAATAGTAAACTGCTCTGATTTATTAGCAAATATAGTCCATTCAGAATCAGTAAACCTTATAAAACACGAAGAAACACAAAACAGTTGATATTTTTAAATTATAAATTAAAATCGTATTTAATGTATTAATCAAAAATAATCAAAAAAGCTAACAAATAAAATTTTAATTAACTACTCGAAACTATTACCATGCTCAGTCAAATTTTCTTAATTTCATTCAAATAAAATTAAGTTGATTTGGAAAGTGATAATACTGCGCCAAATTAAGGAAATCATATGTTCTTAGTTTACAAATTGAATGTTAAAAATTACGTGGTTAAAACACCATCTGTATCTGCGAAATTTTAAAAGTTGATTATTATAACTATAAAAGATGGTATTTAGTAATTTTATTAGCTTTAGTGAAGCTAATATTAACTATTAACTATTATTTTTCACTCTATTTTAAATTAATAACAGTTACAGTTGCCGCTTTTTCGTTATCTCAACCTTTTTCTGGTTAACATTTAACGTATTTTTCGCATAGTTGGATTTGCCTTCGTTCATCTTTTTAGTTTCGTTTTACCTTAAAACTGAATCTTGTATGGAAAAAGAAACTTAATTTCGCTAAAGGAAGACGACCTATTTCGTTTTAACTACCTATTTTTTTATTGTTTAATTAATTTTGTAACTCATAAATTTTTGACATTAATTTTAATATGAGTTAAGCCTTTTCGCCATCGTATTGTGTGGTTATTTTTAACAACAGACAACATTATTTTTATAGAAGATTAGTATATAATAATTATTCTACTTTGACGCAATTATTTCCAATATTTTTGTATGAATTTTGAATATGATATTAATTACGACACATTTATCGAATTTTTTACGAAAATCTATTTATCCGATAATGTAATTGTATTGTAATAAGCTCTCTGGTTCTGATAAAATGCAATATATATGTCTTAATAATTGATTTTAACATAGTATAATTATTTGATAATGGGATTGGCAAAAAGTGAATTGATGTATGGTACACCACACAGATTTTATATGTTAGTACATTCACACTGTCTTATTAGAAACTTGCTCATTTGTATTGAGTGAATGTTCACATTATAGTGAGCTTATTTATACAGCAGATAAAACTTTAATACACTTTACTTAAGAATATATCACATAACAAAATTAAAAATATATGATTGATATATTACATCCCATATTTACGACGTGTGCGAGTTAGGCTAAGTTGATGCTAAACCAATGGGAGATTTTTTGCACTGCACACATTTAGCCATTTATCAACACTTATCGACACATCACTACATTATCGGCACAACTTAGAATAACCCTCATTTAGAACGCAACTTAGGCTAAGGCGCGCACGTTCTTAATTAATACAACATAGAATTTATTAAATAAGAATTTATTAAGTTTCTCAATTCTTGGCTGTTGGCTTGGCTGTTGTTTATTTGCATATGCTATATATGATATAAGAAAATTTCAACTTTTGATAATTTCCCTTTTGGGAAATTTATTTTTAGGAGTTGCATTCAATTTTCGCTTTAAGTGAGCTGATAAGGAGCTTATTTATATGAAAGATGTTTGTATGGTAAATCATATACATTAGTGGTTATAATGAGCAAAACCGTCTAAATGAGACAGTGTGTATCTGCTATTAGGCCAGATATTTAAGACCTGAGGCATTTTTTTATAAAATATGTAATCCAAAACAAGTAAAAATTCAATATGGCAACTACAAAAGAATGCACTATGTTCACGACAAAGATGTGCTCCATGTACCATATGTTATAAATCGTATTTAATAAACTTAGTCTATCAAAGTTGTATGGAATGTTATCGAAATATGATTTATAAGGATTACATCTTAGCATTTATGACTGCTTTAATCTAAGTAACTTTATTACCTTATATAGTATATTTTAAATTTTTTCGATAAGTTCAACCATAACAAATTTCTTTAAGTAAAAGAAATGCTTTTAATTAGTAATTCGAATTAAATTACTAGTATTTAGAGCTTTTAGGTTTTAGTGAACAAAATATCTGGAAAATTAATATATTTGTGTGGTATTTTTAAAATTATTTTTTGTTGTCGAAGTCTCGAAAATTTTTTGACTTTCCTCTCAAAACGGATTGTTAATATAACCCGTCCTAAGATTGAAGTCAAAAAAAAACTTTGAATAATAAATTCGGCAATAAAAAATATCTAAAAATTACATGACTGTTTTAATTTTCCGAATATTTAGTTTATTAGAACCTAAAAACACTGAATAATTGAAATTCAGTGATTTTAAAATAGTTAGCCTTTAAAAATTACCTCGACCTCCTCATCGTCTTGATCATCCTGGATTTCGCCAGGATATAGATACGCATCCTGATCGCGCAAAAAAGCGAAATATTTAAAATATATCCAACCGGGCCTGTAGAGTCTTAATTGCTTCCTATAATCTCTGATTTTTTTATTTTCCCGCCTCACGGAAGCTCTGAAACTCACAATTTTTCTTTTTACCGTATCAAAATCAGCCGAAGGGTCAATTTCTCTTAGTTTATAAATAAGTTTTGCATAAGCTTTATTTTTTAAAGATTTATTTTTAAAACCGTCTAATTTACGATTCCATAATTCAGGCAATGATTCATAAAGTTTTATAAATGTAATCCAGAAATCTGATAAAACTTCCATTCTTGATTTCGATGTGTATTTTTGATTGAAGCTGTTTACCCGAACAAGTTGACGTAACAAACTGCAGTATCAAAGCAACTAAAAATGGCGAACACATAAAACACTCAAGAACAACATGTTACTTGTTACAGTGAGTGTGTTCCCACTAAAGAGAAACGCAAACTAATCATAAAGTGTATGTGAAAAGTTCAGGTACGCTAGAATAAATCTTCATTGTAGATAAAATACAAGAAAAATAGCGTAAAATTTATTCAGAATTAAAATTCAAATTCAATTATCTTAAGATGTCTTGGAATATATGAGTTTAATGTTTATATTAATTTTATTTTAAAAACAAATTTATGTGCCATATTTATTGAATTATTTAGTTTTTATAAAATATAATTACTAGGAAGACATACTGCACCGACAAAATCATTCGTGAAAATAAAATATATGAGATCATTTCAAATTAAATTCATTTTTCCACGTGCAAATCAAAAGCTTAATGCGGCTCATGCATTTTGTAATGACACCGCTGAGAAGAATCAAAGTAGTATCAAAATAACGAAACTATAAGTTGAGAATACTTCAAAAAAACAAATTGTCATACCATTCGACCCCTTAAAATTGAATTTTATGAAAATGAGTTCATCGAGAAAAAATTTGAATTATTGTTAACAACAAGAGAACGTTGAGGAAAGCAAAGTTTTGATTCTTTTAAAAAAATAATAAGCAAGGTAAACACAGAAAGGTATTTTGGTGCTCGTTCTCCCTCAATGAGTGTTATTAATGCTGCTGCATTAGTGTGCTAACATTTCGGTTAAAAATGTTTCTTCATGAATTAAATTCATTCATTTTATATTTATGAGTGAAGCTAGCAATTAACAAACAGCACATTTTTTATATATTTTATATTGCACAGTTGTTATATTTTTTGTAAAAAAATCTTAAATAAGTGGAACTATTTATTTCGACTAAAAAACCGCAATTATGTGAGCAACAGCGACAGTTCTAGGAATAATTTTTTTTTTGAAATGCATTTATTTCATGTTATTGTTTACATTATATTAAATAAAGTTTGTATAAATAATAAGTTGTCATTGATTGTGCCCTACTTCGGGTATAAGAAACTTTGAGATACAATGTTGTCGCTTTGCCTACACAACAGTACTGCAATGAACAGTAAAATATTACTATTTATGTTATTGTTTGTTTTCAAAAACATATTTATGTATACTTATATTTATGTTAAATATTACTAATAGTACTACTATGTTAATTTATATTATGCATAGGGCAATTAACATATTGTTAATACTATGTTCAGACAAACCTTAATTTCGCAAAAATTTGAATTTCATCTTCAGCGAAATTACGTTGGTTTTTCCATACTAAAGGTAATAAAATATATATATATGCCATCACATATAATTATAATAATCAACTTTTAAAATTTAGCAGCTATAAGTGGTGTTTGGAGCATGTAATTTTTAACATTCAATTTGTAAACAAAAAACATATGATTTCCTTAATTTGGGGCAGTAAGAACACTTTTGTATCAACTTAATTTCATTTTTACGAAATTAAGAAAATTTGGCTGTCTGAACATAGTATTAACCTCTTGTAAAAGCGTTTTGGAAACGCTATTTGTATCAACAGCCATGGTATTGATATTAAGTTCGCTCTGAATTCCTTTAATATACTTCAATGATAAAAAAACACTGAAAAGTTTGAAGTCATAACTAATTATAATTCTTCTCAATACATAGCAGCGCATTGACACATATTCAATATTTAATTCAAATTAAATAATTTTTTCTCTTGTATTTAATTCTGTTTCATATGCGTGTTCCAGAATTAATTAATACTACTTTAAACATTTCTTGCACTAAGTTACTATATCAATTTATTATTGAAATTATTGAGATTATACCGCACGTAAATAATGTAGCGCACTTCAGCACCAATGCTTGTATTTTACTTTAGAGGAGAATTCTATTATAATGCAATGTATTAAAGAGGTGATTTTTTCCTCTTCGTGATTGTATTGAATCCTAAAGTGCCTCCATTTATTAAAGAGTCTTACCAGTTGAAAATTTTCTAACTACCTTACTATTATTATTGTAAAAACCAAAAAACTCACATGCCATAAAGCAAAAACAAAAATTACTCAAAACTATATTTATGCAATAGTAGTTTATTTTGTTAATTCAGAATTTTAACTTTATTTCGTAATCGCACTTGGCAATGTTGCTCAGTGACTGTACCTACACTAAACACAAGAGCGGCCATATTTGCTCGTGCTTACTCAACACAATAACAATACATACATAGTCGTTTCCCCGTATAGAGACAAAAACCTGAAAAGTGACACGAAAGAAAGTATTTCATGAAACTCATTTTTCAGTATAATATTTTCAACGTTCGCGAGAAGTAGTTTTTGTGAGTAGCAGATATTATGTGCTCGGTGAGACATTTATTTTTGTGAGAATAAGAATTTTAAATAAATTGTTTTCAAGCGGGAAAAACCAAAATGTACCTATATTTTTAAAGTAATAAATCAAAAAAGTACAATGCGCCGTTTTTTAAGAGTTATGATAATTACAATAATAGTTGTAGTGTAATATTAAAAAAAGCATTCAGTAGTTTCCATATGTATTCGCATTTAAATGCAATCGATGAAATCTATTTCAATATGTACATATTTTCGGTGTGACTTGTTTTTTGCTTACATATATATTCATATATTCGACCGAATCGCCTCCTTACCCCCTTATCAATTTCGTAAGTTGAATTATAAAAAAGTCATATCGAATATCAGTGGCTGTGCAAACTGTACAAATAATATAAATCAAAGTTACTATTTTAAAAATATCGGTTAACTAAATTTTCAGTTATGATTTTGTTTTATATCTATGATACTGAGTTAATATATACCAGATGAAATATTTTTAAACTCTTTAACTTGTTTGGTTGGGGAATTTAAATTCAGTTCTGAGTATTGCTGCGCAATTTTACTGAAAAAGCAACGAAAGAACAAAGAACCAAACGAGTTTCATTTCAATAAAAATGAATAAAATAAATATGAGTGATAAGAGGAGGGAGCGAGAGAAAATATAATAAATCGTCAGTTTCAGTAAATACTTGTACTAATTTTAACAATTTTTCCTCTTCCCTTTGCAGCGCTGAGTGATTTGAGTACGTGTGAGCGAGCGAGAGAAAAGTATTCTGTATTGGACATACAGCTTAGGTTGTTTTTAATTTTACAATATAACTAGACAAAATTTCACTCGTAAACGGAATTAGAAAAATTCATTTGAATTTGAGTTATTAGTGCTTTTTAGAGTGCGCGTAAAATATAGACATTAATTTATCAGTATATATATATATTCGTATATATATATACCTCTAAATATTTTTTATTATACGGGACTAAGACACTTTCACCATTCCCCACAACGACGTTTACGCCGTTGGAGAATTGGTGGACCCGATGATGTCTTTGCCAATGAACTCGTTATACTCCCTGACATGGGGAGACTATGGAACGTCACTTGTGTCGGCCATTCAACTTTTGCGCTGCCATGGTGATTTAGTTGACTGCACTTTGGCGGCTGGAGGGCGTAGTTTCCCTGCGCATAAAATAGTTTTGTGCGCTGCATCGCCTTTTCTGTTGGACTTGCTAAAGGTAAATATTATTAAATATCTTAATTATGATAACAACAAAAAGTTCAGTGTTGAAATAATGTTAATTATTTATAAAAATAAAGTGTTTACTCCAAAAAAACTACAAAAAAAATCAGTATCAGGTAAAAAATTTAATACATTTTTGTTTGTCCATGTCTATATATTTTCTTGAAATTAGGCGAATTTCAGACAGGCGGGAAGGAATGTTAATAAAACCGTTTCACGTTCAATAAAAAAATACTATCAACATTTTGTTGTAAAAATTAACAGTAATCAAGAAGAAGAATACCGCTTGTTTGTAAACAGAGACATTTTCAAATAGGTTCACGTTTTACTGCCACATCTTACTTATTTTATGTTTCTCCACCAACTCTCACTCTAGTAGTGATGCTCCTGAATTATATTCTACTCAGAGTTCAATGAAAATTACATATAAAAAAATTGTCCACAGAAAATTGTATGAGAAATTTTTAGCTAAAATGTTTTATACGGAAGGGGCACTTGACTATTCTACCTTCGCAGACTTTTAGAGATTGAACTTAAATAATTTAACCAATAATAGAGACTAATGAGGTTACATCTCCATTCTTGTTTTCTGATAAAACATCCAGTACATGACTAACAGTTACTTTTTGCATATTGCTTCCTTTATTATTTTTTTTTCTTTTTTTTTTTTTTAGCTTTGTACTTTGTCATATAAGCTGGCTTATCAAATATTTTTGCCATTACATTTGTATAAATTTTTAAGTTTTGTGTATTTACTTTATTTCAACCTCAATTTGGCATACTGAAAGAGCGAAAGAGAGCACAGTTTAATTTTGGCAAGTGTTTGCAAGAGCGAGAGCACAGAAGAGCACTATGCTGCGTGGCATAGTACGCCAAAACCTCTTTTTTTTTCTTTGAATGCGAAGGGGAATTGTGCGGCATCTATATATATATATTTGTTGAGTATGTATCTATTTTATTGCTCATGCTCATTGCGAGTTTATGTGGGTTAATACTGTGGAAAGTTTTTATTTTGCTTGGTTGCCAACTTGGATTTTTTTCTGTTTAAACATTTTTTGTTAGTATTGCATTATATTTATATGTATGTACATATTTAATATTTGAAGGATAAATGTTATAATCAGATTAGATTTTTATAATACTGATGAGCCCAGAAATGCAATATGCTATCAATGCAGAAAAAGTGATATAGTAATTTGAAATATATAAAGTGCAAGTATGGTATTCGTAAACAGAGAGTTTTGAGCATGGTAAAGAAATAAACAGAGAATAAGATATTTTTTTTAGCTTCTTCTTATTAACTTCTATTAAATGAATAAAACAAAACAGTGTGATTGTGCTCTGATCTCCCTGATATTGTTTTGAAGTCCATACATTGCCTCTACTCTGAGGGATGAAACTCGGTGCTGCAAGTTTGAAAAATCGATAAGTACCATGCGTGAAGGAAATTTAAGAGTTGGCCTAAGTACGTTCAAACTGAGAGTGGGATTCCGTATGCAACCTTTTTATTTATTTACTTTTTTTTTTTTGATTCACTCTACATGAAAAGATTTGAATATTTAACAATAGAAGTTAAACATTCAAATTATTTTCATTAGTAATTGCATGTCTAATTAAATCTTTAGCTCAGAAAACTTCATGATGAATCTGAATATACTAAAATACATATGTATATTCACATGACAAATGTTTTTATATTTTATATTGGCTACTGAATTAAAAATATAACTAAAGTATAAATTGTGATTTAACGTCAAATTTTTCAGGCTAAGTGACTTTTATATTTAATAGAAACTAGCATATTTCATAAAGAGGTTTTTTGAACAGTAGTGAACTACAACAACCAAAAATCATTTTATATTATTTTAATTAATTGAATTTTTGACTGACCATACAGCTGTTTCGAGTATTGCCAAATACCCATCATCAGTGGTCTTGGAAATAATTCTTGTATTTAATTGAGACTGCAAGTACCAGGAATTGAACTCGTGTCCTGCCAAATTTAAAGCTCAGAGTCAGTGCACCTTAACCAAGTGACCTTAGATCGCTGATGACCCCAAATATTAAGGTAGTGTGACAAGTGGTCATCACGTGGTTTGAATATTAAAATTTCTTTATCTTTCTCCTAAAACAATTACAATTTTATAATTTTAACAACTGGACAAGCCAAAAGTTCAACAACAACAAAGTTTTAATACATGATACGCGATTATATATGAAAAGGATCCCAATTACTAAACTTTAATACGGAAACTATTTTTTTGTTTTGGTTTTAAGGTCGTTTATAAAATAATTTGTATAAATATGCAAAATATTTCTAGGAAGGGTTGATAAATATCAAAATAAGTTATTTTTTTGACTGAATGAGCCTATCCGTACTGAATTGAGAATTAGTCTTAGTGGATTAAATCTTGTTTGTTGCCACATTAGATGAATTTCGCAGGTTAAAAATATGTGTAAATAAATTATGCTTGTATGTGGTCTGTAAGACACATGTGTAAAAAGAAAAGTAATGCCAAAAAATATACATGTATTCGTTTAATCACCTATGAACTACCTCAAAAGCGGTTGATTTTTTTCAATCACCAATAGTAAAGCAATTTGGCTTAACAATGTGAAAAGTGTTATGAGACCATTTTCTATCTTCAATTAAAGGAATGAAGTGTGTTCAGACGTAATAGTATAGCTATTTTCTTAAAGAGTCTTCTCATATTTGTTAATTTGTTTGTTTTTGTTGAGCAAATCAAAATTCTTTAGCATACGAAATAATATTTACTAATAGTTTACAAAATAATACTAATACTAATTTGAAAAAAAAAAACAGAAGTATGACTATATGGTATTTTTATATAATGCATTTTATGGACTTTTTTGGCTTTTAAGTTTTAAGCGATTTTTAACCACACACCGATGGACCTATGTCTTTACGGACATATTACTTGCATATAATTTTTTTTTTTTTTATAAATTGTTTTATTTTAGAAATGAAATGAGAAATTTTATGTTTTATATAAATATCAATGTTAAATTTTCTTTAAAACATACAATATTATGCAATACTATGTAAAGGCATAGCAAATATTTTTAATAATAGTTAAAATAAATTAATTCCAAAAATACTCACGAAATTTTTTAAACTAAATTAACGCAAATAGGTAGATTTTAAGAAATGTTAATTCAGTTCTCATTTTATTGTATATACGATATACCTGCTTTAGTTATATATTCTTCAGAAAACTGTTTTTATTTAAAAGTGTAGTTTCTTTTTTTTATTGTTTAAATATCTTAACTATATTATAATAAAATAATTTTAAACGTGAATAAAAATTGAATTTTGTTATAAATCCATAAAATAATATTCACTCGAAACTGAAACGAGAACAGTATGATATTTTTGTGGAGCCAAAACCTTACCGATATATATTTTTTAATTGAATTGGAATAAATTTTCTTGGCTTTTACAAACAAATGTTACTTTTTGATTATCTCATTTTTAATTGTTATCAGTTAATTATATTCTATGTTCATAGTGTATAGTAAATAATAAATAATAAAAATAAAACATGAAATAAATATAGCAAAAAATATTCATTTTTTTATTCCACTTCTAAAAAATTTTTGTTTGCAATCGAAATTTTTCTTATTCTTCCGCTAAGGAAAAATAAATGATTTTTGCTAAATAAAGTGTCTGTCTGAACAAAGTTTTAAAGATAATCAAAATTACAATTGAATGCTAAATTATTTTCTTATATTTAATATATAAAAAAAATAATTTTATATCTCTACTTGAATTTAGTGAACAAATATAAGACTAATCCAATTATGAAAATAATTAAAAAATTGTTATTCAAAGAAAACGATTTCACTGATATCTCTTAGGTGTCTAGGTCATTTGAAAATAAAAGATTGCATTAATTATAGTATTAAATTATTTTCTATCTTTGTTATATTCTACATAAACAAAAAATTTCGGTTTCAATATGCTTTTCATTTGTTTTCATTTTTGGCGCCAAATATAGTTTGGATGCCATCAATGCTTTATACTTCTTTTCATTTTATTTTATTTACAAGAGATACATTAGTTTCGCAGAACGAGATTTTGAAATTGTTTGTCTTCTTGGTATTTACAAAAATGAGCGGATTTCTTTCTTTTTTCCAATATCTTATCAGAGACAACCTCTTATTAGTGACAATATGCTTGGTGCTGAAATCGCTCATTCTGAGACATCCACTGAGATTGTTTAAATACGAAAAATAAATTAAACAAAGCCCTCGCAACTCTGAACTCTGAAGATAGTGAGAAATAAATTCGGTCGCAACCAATTCCATGTGCAACTAGTGTTTATACTGTGCTGTGCTGCGTTGAGTATCTTTCCCATTTCTGTAAATTTTGTTTATTGTTTAACCCTCATATTGTGTGTTCTGCCGCTGTGTCGGTGTCAATGTCGGTGTCGGTGTGTAGTTGCTGGGGCAACTCTTTTGAACTCATTGTTACTCAGTGGAGATGTTAATTTCTCTGCGTTGAAGTACCATAAAAAATATGTTTTATGCATTGAACATTTTACTTTGAAAATAGTTTTTCACTAAATGCGAAACAAAAAAGTCGTCTTTTTTTCTATTGACATTTTCATCTGAAAATTTTTTAGAGAAACAATAACAAAAGTTTCTATAAAGTGAAGGTGTGCTCTTTTCACACACATGGGTAGTACAATCGCAAGCCATTTAATGCTATTTGCTGTTGTTCAGAGCCTCAGTTTGCCGGCTCGTCGTTTCAGGTTATTTAAGTTGGAATTGTCTCGCTTGCATTTTTGACACTCAGATACATTTTGTATACCAACGAAGAGCGGTAAAGGGAAAACGTATTGAAAAAAAGTTTGTTTATATTTTTATAATTTGATTTTTATTGAGTGTCAAATTAAACTATAAGTGTGCTCTATTGTTTGTTTTTATTTTTATTTTTTTTTATTATCATATCCAAGAATTGTGTGACAATTACATTAATTTGTCACAAAAAAAAAAAATTTAATTCAGTAAACAGTAAATATACTCAGCAATTTTCCAATAACTAAAAAATTTTTAAATGTTCAAATAAGTGCTGAATAAAATGTTTATTTGTTTTAGCAACAAATGTAGTGATGGTGCAAATAAAAATGTATTCAGACTTTTAAATAATAAAATATCTAAAATAGTCTTATTGTATTACAAAATATATTAAAAATATATTAATAATATATATTATGAAATTAAATAAATATTTTATTTTGATTAAGCATTTAAGATTTATTATACGAAGTTATTGTTAATAATGCAATTAAAATTTACATTTCCAACACTGAACTATATTACTATTGTAGCATTTTAAATGCCTCTTATTCTAAAATTAAAAAAAAATATATATTTAAATATTTATTAATACAATAATCCAATATTTTTGATCCAATATTTTAGAACACGCCATGCAAGCATCCAGTAGTAATGTTAGCCGGCGTAAATGCAAACGATTTGGAAGCATTACTTGAGTTTGTGTACCGAGGAGAAGTAAGTGTCGACCATGCGCAATTACCATCTTTGTTACAGGCGGCTCAGTGTTTGAACATCCAAGGATTGGCGCCACAAACTGTAACCAAAGATGACTATGCCACGCATTCTATACAATTACAACATATGATACCGCAACACCATCATGTAAGTATCATTATATTATAATTCGCTTTTTATTATTCCTATACTAATATCAAAATCATTTCTTCCAAGGACCAAGATCCACTTATTGCAACAATCGCCACTGGACCCCAACAAACTGTTCACGCTCAAGTCGTCGAGGATATTCATCAAGGACAAATATTACAGACCACAACTCAGACCAATGCCGCCGGACAACAAACTATCGTTACTGCTGAATCGCCTAAGGATGTAATACAACAATTTTTGCCTGCACGGAAACGTAAACCACGCGTAAAGAAAATGACACGTAAGCTTATAAAACATCTTAACGCAAACATTAAATTATTTGAAATGATTTTTTTTAGCTAATGCACCGAAAATAGCAAAAGTTGAGGGTATGGAAACAATTATAACTACACCGACCACGTCCGGAGCTGTTCAACAAACTCAGCAATTACAAGGAATTGAAAATGGCAATGAAACTCAAATTATAACGTCGACACCGCATATCAAAAGTGAAGTGACCAAAGTGGAGACAATTGTAACAATGGACCCAAATATAAGCGGAATAAACCCTATTAATGTCGCTGGCGATTCCACCATGAAAGTAAATAAGCGCATTAAAACACCTGGAAGTGATAGTAAGTTATCAAAAATTTAATGAAATAGTTGATATAACACCTAACCAGCTTTGATATGCATTTGCAATTTTGAAGCATTTGTTAAAATTATTTTGTTGTTGATGTGCTAATAAGTATTTCATCAGTAATTAGGCAGTTTTGGATTATCTAACGGTTTTTAAAAATAGTTTTTTATCGTCATTAGTAAGGTAAAAAAATTAATGTACATTTTTTTTTAGCAATAACTCTGCATTATCATCATACTATCGATAGTTTTAAGGCTTTTTTTTTTGCAACTATCGCTGGTTTTTCGAATCAATTATTTTCCTTTAATCTGAAAAAATGTTTATGCAGTGATGGCTAAACTTTTTGAATACAATCGACGTAGTCATCATATACAAGACGATTTTGTTATTTTAGTCCCTTTTTTATTTCAACTTAATTCATAATAATGTGAACATTTTTATTCACTAAAAGAGGAAACACATTTTGTTTATATTAGGTGTACCGGTATGAAGTAAGCGTAAAGATACAAATGTTCCGACAGGGAACATTTGCTGTGAACGAGCCATTTTTTTTTGTTTGTTTGTTTGCTATGACATGTGTGAAATATATTTAGTATACATCGAGTCATTGAACAGACAACATCATATTTTTTCATCGTGTTAAAAATGTCGAATATTATACCAGAAAGTGATGATTTGCGGAAAGCATTAATTTTTTGTTTTCATTTGAAGAAAAGTGGTGCAGATTCGCATCGAATGCTTGTCGAGGCATATGGTGATCATGCTCTATCAGAAGCAACATGGAAAAGATGGTTTCAACGGTTCAGAAATAATGATTTTGATGTGAGAAATGAAGAACGTGGAAAACCGCCAAAAAAGTTTGAAGACGCCGAATTGCAAACGATATTGGATGGAGATGACACTTTGTGTCAAAAGCAAATGGCAGAAATGTTAAATGTTGCACAATAAACAATTTCTGACCGTTTAAAAGCTATGGGAAAGATCCAAAAGTGTGGAAAATGGGTGCCACATGAATTAAATGAAAGACAGATGGAAAACCGAAAAAACACTTGTGAAATTTTGCTTCAAAGACACGAAAGAAAATCGGCAAAACGGGTTCAGGATGCAATCAAAACACTTGGCTGGGAGTTGCTTCCCCACCCGCCGTATTCACCAGACTTGGCTCCTTCCGACTACCATTTGTTTTCATCGATGGGACACGCATTGGCTGAGCAGCACTTTGATTCCTACGAGGAAGTCGAAAATTGGGTGTCTGGTTGGTTTGCTTTAAAAGACGAACAATTTTTTGGCGTGGTATCCACAAATTGCCAGAGAGGTGGTCAAAATGTGTAGAAAGCAATGGCCAATACTTTGAATAAAATGTTTTTTACTTTCCTATTAATAATTAGTGTTTTATTTTCACCAAAAAACGCTCATTTCATACCGGTACACGTGGTATTAGTGTGTCCATTTGAAAATTACATTCATTATTTGGACAAAGACAACTTGTTTCTGACAAATATCAGATTTTTTCATCAATTTCATATTAAAGTTATAAAAATTATATACTCATGATACTGAAAAACAATTATCAATCTGGGTTGTTTTAATTTTTTTCAAAGTAGTATGACGATCGATAGAAGATGAAATGTAATAAAAATACGAAATGTTTACTTTGATTAGTTAATGAAGATGTATTTGTTGCGTTTGACAGCTATAACCCTGTATATATATTTACCTACTCTGCAGAAAAGTATATTTATAAATTTAGAAAGAAAAAAAGAAAATTCGGGACTGATTTGTGACGCTAAATTCACCACTTATGGTTAAAACTAGAATCTTATGTTAACATTTAGTACCAAAAAGTTTTTATTTAACACGTGGCTCCAATTTTTTTTAGATTTCTGATAAATATTATAGGTTGTTTTGAAAGTTATATAGTTTTTTTAAGTTTCAGTATAATAAATCAGAATCTGCAAATCGCAAATGAGTTTTTAATATATGGATATTATATCAATAAGTGATTTTCAGTTCAATTAAAAATTAGAAGAGATTCCTTGAGTAAATGTAATGTAACATGAATTTTTAGCTTATTTATGATAATTTTTTGTAGCAATAAATATGTATTCATGAATTTTGTATGTATCAGTGGATAATTCTTCATACAATATGTACCTAGCTATTTATTAATTATACTACATTTGACGAAAGCCAACAAAACTTGCCAAAAACCGAACAGTCTACCGTGAAATTTGCATATTGTATTTATTTATTTTAGGATGTACTGGATATAGTATTTATTCAACAGTAGCGAATTTATGGCATTCTTGGTGCATTTGAATGATAAAAATTGTTGACAAATGACAAAGACGGATTTGTTCTTGTATCAAGATAATTAAATTTGTGAATTGTTGATGTCCAAATTATATTAATTGAACTTTGAATTGCTTCTGCGGTATCTAAAGTTTTTCTAAAAAGAGAAACCCTTAATTTGAATGAGCAGTGATCGCGGAAACACAGGTCTATTTTTTTGACAAATTATTAGAAAAGACTTAAATATTTTGTCGATAAACAAAACTAAGTATTGTCCCAAAAAATGTATTTTTATATTAGATAAAAATATTATCGTTTATTTATTAGGTTTTTGTATTCTTTGACAATAATAAAATAAGAAATAAGTTATTGTTATAAATTATTATAATTATCCTAATTAAAGAGAAAAATTAATTGTTAAAAACATTTTACTAAGGAAGACAGTATGATCAAAAATCGGAATTTTGATTTCTATAAAATAAAAAGATTTAGTTGTATTAGTAATTTATTCTTTTACTATGAATTATTTATGCTGTGTAAGTTAAGGAATTGAAGTTATTTTTATAATGGCATTTATTTTCACTCTTTTTAAGCAAAACTGCTAATGTTTATGTAAATAAATGTTCATAAAATTTTATTTCTTATTTTTATGGTTATTTTTAAATTATTTGTATCATTTTAATAATTATAAATTTGTTAAAAAACAATTATAAATTATTAACAAATTAAATAATTATAAAAAATTTATTAATAATTAATTATCTTTTTTTTTTGATATTATTAATGTATTCTTAACAACGATATTGTTGTATGTTATAGTCTATTTAAATTTAATATTACTATTACATTTTTAATCTAAACGATTGTCTTTTTTTCTAGAACCTCGTTCACGGTCTCAGTCGGAACAACCTGCTACGTGTCCAATATGTTATGCTGTTATTCGTCAATCTCGGAATTTGCGTCGTCACTTGGAACTAAGACATTTTGCTAAACCTGGTGTTAAAAAGGAAAAGAAAAGTAAGTCGAACAATGAAACAGCACCACCTGTTTTCGATACAGGTGCTGTTGAGCACACAATAATTGCATCACGCACGATACCAGGAGCAACAGTTACTTCCAGTGAACCCATATTAGTAGATCCTTCCACTGTACATGTCACTGTTGGCACACCAGGCGGTCACATAACAACATTGAAACAGGAACCGAATACTAGTGGTAGTGTCCAAAATGTTATACAAATTGTTAGCGAAGAAGTGTTCGGGTCATAACTCGAGTAACTATATACTTTAAGGCATTCCTAGAGTGATTAAGTGACATACTATGTACATAACAATAACAATAGATAATTGCATATTTCAATATTTTCAAAATTTTCTATTTTCAATATCTTTCTTAATGCTAGACCGTGCAGAAAGTCGGGACTGTTTTCAACATAAAGATATATTAGTTGAAAATTAGATTAGTTGATATTATCAAATATAAGTGCCGATTCATATTCTATATCTCTGCACCCGTTTCCTAATTAATTTCATTTATAATTTTGCATGATGTCAAAAATGTATATTATAGCAGTGCTTATACAAACTTTTTGCATGATTTTGTACATCTAATATTATTTTATTGAATTGTATTAATAGATACATCAAACTTAATTGTTTATAAAAAGATTTAGAGATAATCTCATAATTATACAATTAGAAACTTAAATATTTTTATGTTAAATAAAGTGGACATGAAAACAAAACAATTACATTGAGTTTCCATTTATAATTTTTTTACGTAATTTGCTTGTTAATATTAGTTAGTTGACTTAGATTTTATATAAAATATCAATTTTTATAAGTCTTGCTTTGTATTGTTGAAATTTTTTATGTTACTTGTTATTTGGATGCAGCACTTAAAATTCGAATCTAAGTTATATTTTGTAAAATTTTTAAGTTGATCTGATCACTGAATACGCTGAAAATGTAGATTGATTTGTTTTTCATGATCCATATTCGATTTACTACTCGTAAAAAATATTTTGCTTAATTAATTGACGATATATGCAAAAGAGTATTCTCCTTTCAACTTATATTTCGTTGAATTGCTGTCATGCTAATTTTTGAGACAGCACCCCTCCGACTTATGGGCTTGTCTCGAAGGATTTTAGTAGACAGCAATTTTGAATTTAGAAATATTCACATGAAAACTACCAACAACAAGTAGATTTGTTGTTACCTTACCCGTAAGGTTTGTGTAGTCATATTATTGTATACATTAGTGGGCACTAGATAGCGTGTTAAGTTTTTGTTAAACCAATCAATATAAAAAGTTTTTAACCTTTTAATCTCGATACCGCGATATATCGGCATATATCATTGTGAAGAAATTAGTTAGTTCTCAAAATTAGTATACTCTGCAAAACTATTTGAGAATTTCGAATGCTTGCGATATTGAGATCGAGCCATTGTGGCTTCTGTAAAACTAAAAAACTATTTTGAGAATTTCGAATGCTTGGGATATTGAGATCGAGCCATTGTGGCTTCTGTAAAATAAATATTGATACCTAAAGAGTGATCAACAATAAAAGACAACATTCAATGTATTAGATTTGCGATGTGTCCGGAATTTAATTTTGTCTTCGATTTCAAAGTCTGAAAACTTATAAAATAATTGCGTTAGTATATGAAATACATTTTAATGGAAAATAAGTTTCACTGATAGAGGATTAAATTTTATTGAAATGGGCTTGTAGTTTAAAGGGTTTCGAATACGAAATTTTTTCTTTTAATTAAAAGAAAAATTTATTGGTGTTTCTTCTAACAAATTTAGGGATTTTATGGTTTTCTATTTTGGTCCGAGTAAATATTTTTTATATGTAACTTTTAATTACTAGATATTTTAGGTATATTTTAGTTGAAAATCATATGATTTCGTTTAATTATCTTTCGTCTGAAACAACTTATTTAAAGCATAAATGGAATTAATGAACACTTTTCCCTCCCGAATATAAACACTGGCCTACATAAACGCTGGACAACGTGAACACTTTTTTTTAGGTTAAGTGCTTAAAAATTAAATACGTAAACCAAGTTGTTAAACGTAAACCAGTTGTTGAGCTTAATTTTACACATTTTTAAGTGAGAACTATTATTTCCACATAAACCACGTAAACAGATACGATCAATGGAAATAAGTCCATATTTTTCGCGCCGGCAAGAATATGGGTTTTTTTCGGCTTAGGGATTAGCTCCTGTTCGAATCCTTGGTTTGTATTACAATACAAATTAGTTATATTTCTTATATCTGATCATTTTAATATATGTGTATGAGCTAAATTATTTTTTCTTGTAAAAACAAAATAGTGACAAAAAAATTTTTTTTTTTGTTTTATATTTTATGGAATACAATATAGTTCTTTTCATTGAATACGATTAGTTTTGTTTCAATACTATTTTTTCAAAAAAGTCTTAAGAATATAATCGGTCTCTTCAGTCTTCATTTTATTTAGGTTAAAATAATAAAAAATTCATCGTAGGTATTAAGATCATAAAACAGTGTAGGTAGCTTTTGAATCAGAAATATACGTTCCATAAAATCTTATAACACATTAAATCACTAGGAGTGTGAACATGCTAAAATAAGAGTCTTAGGATAATGCAACGGATCCATACTTGGTCTATATGGATGTGGATTATCGCAGACATATATATTTTAAGATTACTTGCGTTTGTGTAGATTAAAAGAATTAAAGAATTCTATTAAGACCGTATTATGTTCTGTTTTATGCTGAATTGTACTAAAGATGCGTTACAAATTGATTTCATTATATTCATATTTTATGATGTGAAATATATACTTGAAGGTACTCGTGAGAGAAGTATATTAAAAACTCAAACAATTATGGCAACATGAGCAATAAGTAATACTTATTAGTTGTGTGCATTTATTTTTTTACAAATATTTTTTTATGATTTGTTTTAATGGATATAACTTTTTTGTAATTATTTAGTTCCCGGTAAAAAGATTACAACTGTCACTGGCCCTGGATCAAGTAATGTTGCTGGCACATCAACGATAACAACAACAGCCGTTAGTACATTGCCACAAGTACAATCTGTGCAATCACTACATACATTGCAGACTGTACAAGTGAAAAAGGAACCCGATGCGCAAGGCCAAACAATGACAGTTACGACTACTGCAGGAGGACAACCACAACAGGTGCAGGTGCAACAACAACAACTGCAACACCACCAAATCATAGATCAATCTGGCAATATAACAACTACTACAACTACGGCACAACAGCAACCACAGGCAGGACAACAAATCGTCACACAAACTGAAAACACTGACGGAACAACATCTTTGTCTATTGCGCAAGTACAAACGTTGCAAGGTCACCAAATATTGGGCAATCTCAATCAGGTGAATATGAATGATTTTCAGACGCATCCAACGTTATAAGGATACAACACTATGGGCATATATATAATATGAGACGCTCCTTAACATATCTAGAACCCTCTCTCTCTATATATAAATATATATATTAACTATCAACCAGTTCACATCTTCACCTTAACCTAATCGTTCCACGCAACTTCTCCAAAAATTAATACAGAAGTGTTTGTGACAATGTTGTCTGCTATTTAATTTAAATTGTATACGAAAAAAAAATTCGTGCTCAACTTTTCGTTATTAAGGTTTTAATAAGTATATTTTTATATTAATATATATGATTATTAAATTTAGATGTTACTACGTTTACACATTACGCATTACTAATTGCATCATTTGTTAGACAGTCTAAAAGATTGTACAGGCCGGCGCTATGCTGGACAGTTCCTTAAAATAACAGCTATAAATAAATCTATAGCGAAAAATTAAATTTTTTATGCAATTGTAAATATACAAATTCTATATTTTTTAAATATAATCATTAATATATATCAGGGATCAAATATCATGGGAATTGATATTTCAAAATAAATAGTTGTACTCATACAAAAAGTTTATACTAAATTTAATTAAACACTATAACATAAAATAAATGTTAAAGATTCGATTCGTTAGGTAGTGGTAAAATAAAATGTGAACGTAGTAAATTTTAAAATATACTTATCTATTATGCGTTTCCCGCTGTTTATGTTACTTACTAACTACTTACTCTCGGTTTGACAAGTAATCAGCATAATTTATTTAGATAGAATTCTCTATTACCCGCATGCTTTTCAAAGGAACTAAATATATATATTACACATATGCAATTAAAATTTTTATCCATTCTTTTTCCGGGATAATATTTTTACTACTACTAATTCTGTTATATCCAATATTTACTTAAATTTCTTCAGTGTAGTAGAAACCATAGAACCATTTCTTTTTGATGGATTACTACGGAATACATCTTGTTAATAACATTTAATTTTTTAAAATAATAGTTGGTGCCATTATTAAATAATATATATTTTTCCCACAAAATTCTTAATTTACCGTCTTTAATCAAGATAACCTCCCTTAATGTATTAACTGTGGGTCTGATACTGTTCATATATATCTGTAGAAATTTTGATAAGTACAATTCGATGTTTTTTTGTATTCTATAGTGAGGTTTTGTAGATTATACTACATAATAGTCAACTACTGTAATAATATTATTGTTTACGAAAATATTTGTACCTATCTCAAAATTACATGACGTTTGTTGCAGGTACTTGTGTAATATATTGATTATTTTTCCGGTAGAGATAAGAGAAAAATGTTCTATGCCACAACCTTAAATGGTACCTGTTCAGATGTGTCTGTAGAAAATTCTTAATATAGTTTCAATGACTTTTTATTTTCTATAGAATAATATTTATGCGATTTTCGTTTTGGTATAAATAATTTCTAACATTCAAAAGATATCTTTCATTAAAATTTCTTAGTATACCGGAAACAGTTCCATAATATATTAGTTTTTTTTTTTTTGGTTTCTGGAAACCATTATGATAATTAGTTTACTGACGATCCATTTTAAAATTAATTTATTTTAACTTTATTAGATAAAAACGTGCTGTTACTTGTTTGACTGAATCTACCTTATATTATTGAATGAGATTCATAGCTAATAATAAGTGGTTGATAGATTTATTTAGTTAAAAGCGGTATCAGGTACTTCCAAAGTATGTAAATTATAGGGTTGTTACAAATTATTTGTGTAATTAATAATCACATAGGCGCCTTACATGAGTTCTAAACACAATATTTTTCATATATAATCAAAGTGCCGTGCAATATTGATATATATAAACTTAACTAAAATAATAAAATTAAATATTTTTTATATCATATTTATAAAAGTCTTGCTTAAAGCTTATATAATTGCAATTTACTAGTTGTAATTTATATAAATGTATTGTTTTATAAAACATTCATTTCAATATTTTTAATAAGTTTAAGGAGATAGCTTAGCAATACTTGATTTTTCTTTTGTAAAATAAAGTTTTCACTTTGCTGTCTTTCTTAAAAAGCAGTGCTTAAAATTATTATTATTTTTATTATTATTTTTAATAAGAATTTAATTTTTATTAAAGAAAAACATAAACACATTATTTCTATAATTACTTAAATTTATCCAATTATATAAATGGATATAGAAAATTATTTTTAATATTAAATTTTTTATAATTATTTTGCTGATATTTAGTAAAATGTTGAATTTTTTTAACATCATTTTAAATAAAATTATAATTTTTTGTAACATTTAAATTTATATAAAGCAAAAACTAAAAACTTATTATTTAATTTGTTCTGTTCTTTATTTTAAAATCAAAGTACATATTTCAATTTTTTTATTTAAGAAAATTCTTTTTTTAAAATTAAATTTTTTAAAAGTTGTGTTGTAAATGGTACATAAAAATGAATAGATAAAATTATTTAAAATTACTCATTAATTTAATTCTCTTCTAGAAAACCTTATAGGTCTTAAATATTAAATATGTTTATTTATAATTTAATGTTATGGGATTGCTATGTAAGCATTTTGATTTAAAATGATTTTCAAACCATATTATTTTTAATTAGTTTCAATTTAAGTAATTTTTATGCAAATTAGTAAACATTTTGTATGAATTTCTTGTTTTTATTTTTAAGAATAATTTACAACCAAATATTATTGAATTTTTATTTTTTAATAGTTTAATAAAAAAGATTTTCAAATTTGAACATACTAACAATTTTTTATTTCTTGGGTATTGTACTTCCCTTTATAATTTCACCTCTCTTATTTATTGTCTACGGTTTGTATTATAATTATTTGTGCTATAAGCTTATATTCACTTTATTTTTAATATATGTATATTCCCTATTTTCTTGCTTTAAATCTTGTTTTTGGGCATGGCCTCTTACTGATATAACATTTGCTTCGAAATATATATTTTTACTTTTGCTGATGGTTCATTTAAATTTTGAGATATTTTATTTTTATTTAGAAATTTTTAAATGGTATTTTGTGATCATTCCGATGTTATTCAAAACAATACATTTATATTGCAAGTGGAGTACTAGAAATCTTATGCATGGCATTAAACACTTAAAGTAGACAGATTTAAAATTTAGATACACTGAATTCTGAAGCCTAGTGCTAATATCTGTTTAGCACAAAAAGTTGATATAAAATTCTATACAAAACAAATCGAATTTTATGTCTAATTTCCGAGCTAAATAGATGATAGTCTTGGTATTAAAATAAAAAAAATCAGATCTGTAGATATTTTTATAAATTAATATATATAAATATTCTTAAAAAATTATTTGATTAATTAATTAATTTTCTTTTGTGATTTGAGCAAAATTTGTGTTATGCAGAATATTAATTATTATTTCAATATAAAAATGATTATAACTCAAGGTTGTTCTCTCTTATATATTTTGGAAAACAAAAATATTTGTAACTAATTTGCGCATTCATTGTCATAACAAAAACATGAACTTAACAATTTATTTTTGTTTTTCTCTCTTTCTTTTTTATACTTGCTGCCTCGAATCTCACCATCTAACAAAATACCAAACAAAATAATGCATAAAACCTACCTAAATTATTAATATATGTAACATAATAAATAAACGTAAAACTATTAGGGCAACAATAAGAACATATTGGTAAAGAAGGTTTTCATTTTGAAAGGCGGTAATAATACGTAATGATGAGCCAACGATATGATCTGCGGTAACGGAGGAGGAGGCGGTGTCAATGGAAGTGGAAGCGGAACAATATCAACTAGTGGCAGCCGAGGAGCAAGTAACAGCAATATTAGCGGAACTAATGCAATAGGTTTAACAGTAGCAAATGCAACTGGTGGAACAACGTTAGGACCGCATCGTCGCATATTGCGAGGTCATGCTGCACAAACAACAAACGGTGAACGTGTACTTTTAATTAATTATGTATCACCAAATGCATCGGCTGCAACTTCGCCCACATCCACATCTAATACAGTCGCGGCAGTTAATCCAACAACTTCCCGCAAAATCCTCCATTCAAGAGCAACAAATGTAAGTGGCATGCATAGTGCAACGCCAGTTTCATTTGCTGGCCTCGGCTCTGAGGTCACCGTCACGTTAACACGCTCTGGAAAACCGCCCGCTGGTCATATTGTACGAAATCAATCGGTTACAGGCACCGAAATTATAGAAACGCCTGCTGTTCATACTGCATCATCATCTCCGCCGCCATTAGTTTTCTCTCATTCCCACGCACTACATCATGATCCTCTTGAACTCCAAGAATCAGATCTTCACCAGCAGCATGATTACCAACACCAAGAACAACAACAACAGCAGCATCAACATCAAGAACACCAACAGATTGTAATACATCAAACACAGCATGAAAGTGAACTAATTGAATTCCAAGACACCGATGTTACTGAACATCATTTGCAACAGTTGCATGAGCAGCAAGAATGTGTTGGTGGGGAGCAACAGGTCGAAGAGGTCTATCTCAACTAATTGTAAGAAAAAATTGTAAATCATGTTAGAGTTTTAAAACGAATTAAGAAAATTTTATGGAATGTTGGTAGACTGTAAAAAGATATCGAATATCATTATTAAAAGTAAATCAAATGCTAGGACAATATGCATAGTTCGTCATCTATAAAATACAATCTCTAGTCTTTGAATCTACGTCCTTATTGAGATCTTTATGTCTAAAATGAGTTTTTTCTTTCATAAGAAAGTATATTTTTTAAATTTTTTGCTAACGCTGGAATACAGTTATTTAGATTAGAACCGTCGGTTTAATAGTACCCTCCTAAATATGAAGGAGAAAAGAGTTAATAGAATTTTGATTGTATATTATGAAAAATGTCGTAAATATGTAATATGTATGTACGTGGTACACAATAGAATCGAATATTAGATTTGTAGTTCAAATATTTAGTTTAATGAATTTGTTTAATATATATGCGTATTAAAATTTCAAGATTAAAGATTGGAACTATATATAAATATCATAAACAGTCACTTTATTATTGCCTACATTCCATCAATTTTTCTTAGTGCACTTCAGCCGCAGATTGTATTCATTGAATAAATTAATTATTTTTAATTATGGATATATATATGTGTGTAAAACTAAATAGTTATGAGTATCTTTTTTAATTGAAGAGATTACGTATTTTTATATGAATACTTGAATGAACATTTTTTGTTTCGAATATTTTGTATTGTGGTGTCAAGCTGGATCTCTTCATATGTTCATATGTATGTGCATTACATAAATTGTAAATATAATATTATATAGTATTTAATATATACTTTTGCAAGGTGCGTTCTAAAGTAAACCAATCGGGCTATTAATATAATGATTAAAATAAAGGTCTTCTCTTGTCGATAATGTAGTTCTTTTATTGATGCATTGTCAACATTTTTTTGCCATTTGAATTAATAGAAGCGGAGTTTTTAATTCTATCAACAAATACCCCGCACATGTGGATGGATAAGAGCAGTTTTTTAAGAGATAAGTTTTTTAAGATAATAGCATTAATTGTGGACATTTCAGTAGTCCAAATGTTCCAAAGTCTAAAGATAATGGGTATTTGGTAGAACTCGAGAAAAACCATCTATGTCTTTGAGCTGCTCTAATTCCGATTAGATAAAGCATGTGATGTAGATTTCAATTTAGCTTTGATCAAAATAACTATTTTTAAACAATTTGTCTTTAATAAAATATGAACTGTGACTGTAATCGTACATTTAAGTTTAAAATAAATCTCTCCTTATTCGATATTTATTTTTGTATCGATAAATCAAACGATGTTTGTACTTTAGAAATAGGAACTCTGCTTTAATTCGTTTAAACGCCTTGACAGTACATTAGAAAGAGATTTACCACACGGACGAAAGCAATTGTAAATAGGTGGCTACACTGCAAATACTTATTTTTAAAAATCGTTATTACTTTGGACCCACTTTCTATAAATAATAAAAGTAATAATACGTAATATTTACATATATGTAAAGACGTCTAAATTTAAATATAAAAAAATTTAATATTTATAGTAGTTAACGTATACACTAATAAATATTATATATTATTATACAACAAATAAGTAGAACTAATTTTATTTATAGCTTCAGTTTAATTTAATTTGAAAATCGCTTGTATAAAACATATAACTTAAGAAGTGGAATAAATAAATAGAAATTAAATTTAAATTGTTAAAATACTAGATATTAAGTTAAGAAGATATAATATGTATTGTAGAATTTAAAAGTTCTTATATAATATAGAAAAGTTCTGCAAATAAACAAAATAATATGTTGTAATAATAAAGTTTAACTTAACTTTACCAGTGTAACTTTATGAAATATATTTAAAAGATTGTAAATAAATACTCTCTTACAGTATTTGAACTCTTAGAATTCTTATTTTTTTGGATTGCAAATTCATTTTAATTAAAAAATAATGTAAAATTGCACAGCTTCAATGCGAATCAAAATTAAATTTGTATAAAATAACTTTAGTGACCATATCACAATTATTTGATAATTTTCTTCTAAAAATAAAAAATAAACAAATATTCATTGATTAAATTCTCTATATTAATAATAAAAAATTCTAATTGATTAAAAAATTGAGCATTATACAATTTTTTTTTAATTTCAACAGAAATTTAATTATTACATATTTATATTATAAAAAATCGCAATATACGTAAAATTATAAATAATCAGTTTATAAATAAATGATCACAAAAGTTTTTTTTTGTATATTTATTATTTAAAAAAAATTTGAATTAATAACAATTTTGGTTGTAGTTCCGATTATATAAAAAAGTTCTATACAGTAATGCCCACATGGGAAATAAGATTTAACCACCTACAAAAAGTTTATCAGAAAAGTTTACTTAAAAAATAACTCATATTAAATAGTAAAACGATATAAACGACACTAAAACTTGGAATTTTTTTCATAAATATCTATACATATAACTAATTAGTGGAAGTTTTAAAATATTATATGTATATTTCACTTTTTTCACATTATTACTTTATAAACAGACTTAAATAAATGCACATATATATGTTTGAATATATATATTTTAGTGCAAATAATTTACCAATTAATTTAACAATAATTTTTAGGTAATTTTTATTTAAAAAATATTTAAATTACTTACTGATTACTTTTTAATTACTTAATATTAATATAATTGTGTAATAATTATTAATTTTTAATGATAAGATAGAATTAATTAATGAATTAACAATTTTTAATTCGATACTTAATATGTATTTATAGATATGACGAGGTTTTAAATAAATATTACATTAGCGTTAAGTATGTAAAAAAGTATGTCATTTGTAAAAAACGGTAGTGAGATTTAATCTCTAAAATACATTAGCAAAACGAAAATCATAGATTTGATTTAAGTAACGATAAATGAGTAAACAAAGAAATTTTCTTTTTTAAGATTGATAAGATTTACAATAAAGAATTAAATGAAAGGACTTTTGTGTTTTTTTAATAAATTTATTAAATAGTTATATTTTGATTTTTCATGTTGGCTATCATGTCGGCATAACAGAACATCATGGATCTAGAGAGGAAAACTCGATAAAACCCGTAATCTCCGGTGTTATTCGACCCGTGCCGATGAGATGAATAGCACTACGTCAGTGTGTTTTTAAACGGAGACCTCCGGATAACTGGCGCCCTCCGGTTGTAATTTAGCCTTATCCGGGTATTGCGGATCTCTGCCCGGATGGACCCTCCCTTCTCCGCAACTCGTGGGTTTAAATATGAATGAACCAATAACTAATAAAAATAAAAATTCTATAGCGGAGAGCTCGGCTAAACAGAGCTCAAAATCTTCGGACACTAAGTGTCCAAACAAGGTACCTACCGCGACTTCCAGTGGTAATAAAAAGGTGCCTCCAAATCATAAACAAAATGTATCGACGCGCTCCGGACCACTAATTCGGTCAGGCCCTCCTGGGAGGAGGAGTTACAAGGAACGCCGAGCGGCGACTAGACTGCTCGAAAGATACGGCAATATTTCGGTTACATCCGAATCTATGAAGGCCAGGATTGCCTGGGCTAAGCAGGTCCTCGATACCTCGAAGGACAAGCAGGAACCTGCTACGAAGCGACAGCGCTCATTAGATGAGTCAGCTTCAAAACCTGATGCCAAAAAGGCAAAATTTCGTGGCAACGCCACAAATGCAAAATCCTTTAGCGACATGCTGAAGGGTTCTTTAATAATGGGAGTCATTGATGAAAATGACCCGGATGGCACAATTACACCTGCTAAGTGGGACTTAATTGAGCTCAAGCTCCTTGACATTTATGTCGATCTCCTGAAGGACTTTCCTGGAGACGGTCCCACTTGTCGCGATAGTGGATGGCATCAGGGCCATGTGAAACTTATCGCCTGCGCAGATCAGCGTTCTGTTGATCTTTTTCGCAAAGCCATTTCCAGAATTGGTGAGGCATGGCCAGGCGCCAAACTTAAGGTTGTTACTAAGGAGCAAATCCCTAGTCGACCAAGAGCGCGTTCCTGGATACCAGCCCATCAGTCCGATCCTCAGCGGATTCTGGAACTTATTCGGCTAGGAAACCGGCAGTTAAACACATCAACGTGGAAGATTACCAAGCTGGAGGAAGTCAAGGGTAAACATAGGTCGGTCAGTTTTGTGATTGACAAAGCATCCTTGGCCACTTTGGCGAAATCAAACGGTGTTATTAACTACGGTTTCTCAGCCATCACAATGAGGGTATATAAAAAGGACGAGGAGCAATCCTTACCTAACGACACAGGTCCAGCAGCACCGCAAGGCACTGTTGATACCATAATGGAAGCGGGTGATATTGTAACTGCTACCGCAAACTCAGTGGGCCCAGTAGAAATACTGCCTACCACTTCTGATTCAATAAATATGGACGTGACTATGTCCTCTTCAGCTCCTTCAATTACATCTGAAGAGAGTATTGGTACGCGCTATCTTTTTGACGAAGAAGAACTTTTGAACTCTGAAAATGAATCTGAAGAAGATAGCGCGCTTGACGTTACAGTGGTGGACACTACCACATCCAAAACAAATCATGATGCGGGTACTACAAATTAACCTGCACCACTGCAAGGCTGCGTCCGCCAGCTTGTTGCAATGCCTCAGCAACAACGAGGCTGATATGGTCCTGGTGCAAGAGCCATGGGTTTTCAAGGATCTTATATGCGGACTCAGGACTAAAAACTTTGACTTAATGTATGCGGTAAACAAGGGTAAGCCTAGATCCTGCATATTAATAAATAAAATATATAACGCTCTCATGCTTTCGCAGTATAGTGACAAAGACCTAACCGCAGTAAGTATTGAGGGACCTTGGGGCCAGATATGGGCGGTATCTGCATATATGGCTCATGATCACGAAGAGTTACCATCAAGTAGCCTAAAACAGCTGACAATTGACGCTAGGAGACTTGGTGCAGATATCATTTTGGGTTGCG